GAAGATATGAAAATGTCCCTTTTGATCAAAGACTTTGTATCTGTGGATCAGGAGGAGTTGGAAGATATTTCTCGTTATTTGTTAAGATGTCCTCTTATAGGATCACCCCAAGGAGCAAATTCCTTGCAGGCAGACTTAGAACTTTGTGTGACAGCCCTCCCTTGTCTTAACTTTATATGCTTACTTGTGGGTAAGTAGCAAAGAAGATTTGTGCCAAGCTTCAAAAATCCTAAAGAAGAAGGGAAGTCATACTTTTTTTAAAAAAAAGCGAAATTGTGATATGATAGTGTTATATATGTTTGATGCTGTCATTGATATATTGTGATGACCTAGGGTTTTAAGCAATCAACCAATATAGTAAAGAAAAGAAAAGAAACAGCCCTGATCAGGCCTTCCAAATACAGCCCCTTGATCAACCAGATCAAGTACAGTTTACCTCAGTATTCCCAAAGGACATTCAAATTACCTAATAGTGAGCTAGGATCTGGAAAATTCTGACCTTTCCTTGTAAGGACTACCCGTTTGGTTCACTGGCACAATATCACCTCAAGAAAAGGAGGATGAGTGTCTTGTAAATGAATGGGCTTCACAAACAAAACAAACGTAAGTCCTCTGGAGATCGGTTGGAGAGGTCTGTTAACTTTTCCAAAATATGCATAAGAAATGTAGATGTATTTTTGGATGCAACCAAAAGTTTTATTTAGCTCTCCTGTTCCTTACAGAGTGTGATTAAACTTTGCCAAATATACCCAATCTTGTCTGATTTAGAAGCTAAAGAAGGTCAGGCTTGGAGGAGATTTGAATAGGACTCCAACGGGACCACTTGGTGTTGCTCTGAGAAGGAAACGTAGCTTTGTAGCAGAGAATCTCCTTCGCGTTAGAAAGTGGCAATGTCTCAAGCTAGGAGTAGGAGAAGAACCCACATGGAGCTTTCAAGTGCTACTACTGCCGGCCAGAGTTGGCAAAATTAGGCTAGGCAGAATAATGGTAAGACTCAGTGGCCAAAATCCCACTGCTTAGTGTATTGAGTTGCACTAGAGTAGGCCCACTGGATCAATGAGCACTGAGCAAGTCAACTCTTCCATAAGTTGAATTGAGTCAAACGGACCTACTCTTTGATTTACAATGCTAAAGAAAGAGGCCCATTTGAACCAATGGAGGCTATGGCGGAGGAGGTGAGTAGGTCAAATGGGCCTACTCTAGTAGAATTTACTACACTAAGCAATGGGATTTTGGCTAGTATACAACAGGATTCTATGTTCTTTCAACACAAACAATGAGTAATTAGTCTTGCTACAAGACAATTAATGCTTAGAAAGGTCACCGGAGGCCAGAGAAAAGGACTTTGGGGACCCGATCCATCCGCTCTTGGCCACCAATTAAACATTCTTGCCTTTTACTGCAAGACTAAATTCTTAAATGCTAAGATTCAGCACTATATATTTATAGGACTTTAAATCCAGCTGCATTAGGGTCTGATTAATGCCATAATTGAGGACCCAACGAGAAGGAAAGAATCTCTTTGTTCAATATGAACGCGATTATGGCCAATATCAATCTAATTAACTAGTACTAATAAATGTTTTTAAATACGCACTGTATTTGGAATGCAGTTGAGTGTATAATAGCTACTAAATCTGACAAAAGTCTTTGGAAAAGCACGACACAGGCATATAATTAACAGATCTTGAAATTGCTTTTGTGATGTGTCTGTGTTATGCACCTGAAAAGTGCCAATTAGCTACATTATTTCATAAAAGAACAAATTAGGAGGTTTGGAAATGATACTAGCCTTACTTCATTCATTTTGTGTGCCTTATTTTCTCACCCTCATCTGCCAACTTCTCCGCAAGTTGAAGCGTCGGAAAAGTTGGCTTGAATTAACGAGCAGCAATCAGATTGTCACACAAATGTTTTCTCAATTTTTGATACACATTATAATTAGCCACTCAATTTTATCTTTCTGTGTGTTTAGGTTACGTATACAATATGGCTATGTTGATGCATATTCCAGTGATTAAACCAATTAATTAGAAAAAATTAAGGTGGACATTTTTTTCAACATTACTGAGCAATTTAATTGATCTTTAACTCAACTTTGGGGGGGAGGATGCATTAAGTTTTCTCCAGCTAGGTATGGGAGAGGGTAGGGAAAGAAAGCTGTTGCTAGGCAACAGGATCACCAAGGAATTGCACAATAAAGACCCAATTTCTCCTCCTCCTCCTCCAAGATCTGTGTTGCTGAAGCTGATGGAGAGTTTTGAAGAAAGGGCATGAGTAAGGATAAGGAGAAAAGATTATGAAGGACAGAGAAAGGAAAAGCAAGAGAAGGGTTTAGGGTTGGGGTGGAGAAGAAATGAGATTTTCAAAAATTCTTGCAATTCTTTCCTTCTTCCCAAAGTTCATAATGGGATGGAGTGAGGAGTAAAATTAGGAATAAGATTTTTCACTTTCATTCTCATTAGTACAAGAATGTAATGCAAATCTAAGCCCCAATTCAAATCTTCTGTTTTTTTATGCAAATACAATCTGATTAGATTTTGTTTAGTTTATTAACAACTATTTTAAAGTGCGACTGTCTTTAACTAACTTTCCAATCTTGTTGGTTAAAACAAACAACTGGGAGAAAACATCAACACATTATCCCAGGTAACGTAAAACAGTACCTCTGTCACTCAGGAAAAGAAAGCCTTCCAGAAATGTTTGGGGCTTTTAGAGAAGATGTCAGGTGCTTACACAGGAAGAAAAGGCAATGACTTTTCCTTTCCAGGTTTCTGAAATCTTCCTTCACTATACTACAGAAACACTAAAAGGCTCAATAACAGGCTGGCCATTGAAACCTGATCTTTTATTGCTGCACAGAAGATTCATAAGAGATGGTCGTTAAGTCAGAGACACATAACCAGAACCAGACGGAAGAGGGGAGGAGATGGACGATCAGAAGCGATGGACACTCTTTCCAAAATATGTATAAGAAAGGGGTAGTTTCCTTTTCTGTGCAAAATCATGATCAATCCTATCAGAGACACATAACCAAACCAGACGGAAGAGCGGAGGAGATGTACGATCAGAAGAGACGGACACTCTTTCCAAGATATGTATAAGAAACACGTAGTTACCTTTTCTGTGCAAAATCATGATCAATCCTAGCCACTCCAGAAATGGTCACATGCATTGCAGAGAGTTATTGGCTTTTTATGCATGCTTTGGAGGACGGCACCCATATTTTGACAGGAGGACTCAGTTTTTCCTGCTTGAGATCACTGTATATCCATATTTCCAAAATCGTATTTTCATACTGGAATTGCCCAACTATTAATAGTGGTATATTTCCCTTTTACATTACTTCCTGTTCTGAGTTTTGACTTTTGAGTATCAAAGTACTTGCCTTCCCTGTGGTTTATACTGAAATTTTCTTGGAATCCTAGATATTTATACGTTTTCTGCCCTTCTAAACATTGCCATTAGTGACCTTATTGTGGTTGCTGTTGTCATTTATGTTAACGATTATGCCTTGCTAATTATACCTATGTAGAATACATTGCTGTTCTTTGTGCCATGCAGGCTATCACATCGAAAACTGTTGGTTCTCCTGGACCTCTCAGTGGCTTTCGACACCATCGACCATGGTGTCCTTCTGGACAGATTGGCTGGGATGGGAATGGGAGACACCATTTTACGGTGGTTTTGCTCCTACCTGGCTGATCAGGTCCAGAAGGTGATGTTGGGGGACAGTAGCTCTGATCCATGGCGGTTGCATCATGGGGTTCCTCTGGGCTCTATAATGTCCCTCATGCTGTTCAACATCTACATGAAACTGCTGGGGGAGGTCAGGTCGTTAGGAGGTTTGGGCTGAGGAGTCAGCAATATGCTGACGGCACCCTGCTCTACCTCTCATTCTCTACCAATCCAGGTATGGCAGTCGCCATTCTGAACTTGTTCCTGGACCCGATAATGGACTGGATGAGGGTCAATAAACTGAAGCTCAATCCAGACAAGTCTGAAGTGCTGCTGGGCCATTTCCATGCCTTAAATGGGGTTACACTCCCCCTAAAGGACAGGGTCCGTAGCTTGGGGGTGCTCCTTGACCCGGGTCTGACCTTGGAAGCCCAGGTGGACTTGGTGTCCAGGGGTGCTTTCTTACAGATGTGGAGAATATATCAACTTCGCCCATAGATGAGTGGTGCCTGGCAACAGTCACTCATGCACTGGTAACAACCAGACTGGACTACTGCAATGTGCTATACGTGGGGCAGCCTTTGAAGAGGGTCTGGCAACTGCAACTGGCAGAGAACTGGACTGTGCGGCTGGTAATGGTGCCACCGCGCGGACTCATATCACGCCAGTTCTGAAAAATTTACACTGGCTGCCAGGTGCTGCTTGGGCCCAATTCAAAGTGCTTACTTTGACATATAAAGCCCTAAACGGCTTAGGATCTGGTTACCTAAAGGACCGCCTTCTTCCATAAGAGCCTGCCCGTCCTCTAAGATCAGGCCAGGAGGCCCTTCTGAAGGTGCCATCCCTGAAAGAGGTGAGGGGGATGGCATGTCGAAATAGGGCCTTATCGGCTGTTGCCCCCCCCAACTTTGGAACGCCCTCCCAAGACAGATCTGCCTGGCTCCGACACTTTTGGCTTTTCGGCACCAGGCAAAGACCTTTCTGTTTAGCCAGCATTTTAATTAAATAGTATCCTTTAGCTGGCCATATGAACAGCAGGATTTATTGATATTAATGTTTTAATAACTGTTTTTAATATAGGGTCTTATAATATTGCCTGTTTTTTATGTTTTTAATATTGTTGTATGCCACTCAGAGACCATTGGTAAAGGCACAGCTAAAAAATCTTGTAAATAAATAAATAAATATTTTACGGTTATTTTAGGGGACAATAATACTGAATGTTCAAAACTGCCGTTACAGGAAGGTAATGGTAGAAAAGGTTTTTAGTCCAAGACGCAGACACCATACTAGACAATCTTACCTGTTTTGGTGAGCAAAAGGTTATCCAAATGTCTGTCTCCAACACCAAGGATATATGTTATTACACAGTAGCCAGCTGGAAATGAAACAGTAACAGTCACCATCAAAAGTTATGTCTCTCTTCATCTTAGTTGCATACAGTAAGATCGTGGTATCTGAGGGATCGGTATCTGCGGTTTCACTTATTTGTGGTCTAAAAATATTAAAAATATCAAAGGAAAAAAAAGATATATATTTCCTTAACCAGTAATTATCAGAACTGGTCACTAGAGGGAGAAGAGACTATTTAGGTATAGAGCTCACTATTATCCGTGGTTTTTGGTTATCCACACATTGGGGCAGCTTGAAACCAATCCCCTGCAGACATGGGGGTCTTACCATACAGAGAATGAAGTGAGGAAAGCTCCATTTTTCTCCTTATGGTTATGTATCATGTGGTTCAACTCAGCAACTGGACAGAGAGGGGAATATACCGTATTTTTCGCTCCATAAGACGCACCTTTCCATAAGACGCACCAAATTTTTAGGAGAAGAAAACAGGAAAAAAATAATCTGCTTTCTTCTCCTAAAATTTGGTGAGCCTTATGGAGAGGTCCATCTTAT